GGGGGGGGGGGGGGGGGGGGGGGGGGGGGGGGGGGGGGGGGGGGTCAGCTGTGTTTTGTGCTATGAAGGTGCGTGTGTCGGAGTTATTTTTAGTTGTTTTGTTTTGCCATAAATTCGGCGCGTGTTTATGGTTCGTGGGTGACGAGAACGAGACTACTCAGCCGGATAATTCAATAAAGCACACACACACATAAACCGCATTTTGGCACTTTCCAAGACGCTTTCGTTGCCTTGGGATTGAGTCTCTCGTGCCTCACACGACCCGCACTCAGGGTGTCAGCGGGCGAGGCTGAAGCCACCGCCGAGCGTCGACTGAGAGAGCTCCAGGGACTCCTGCAGGAGGCGTGTTCGGAAAGGGATCAGTACCGGGAGTACGCCGAGTCCGGCTCCGAAGCGCTGGCAGAGAAACTGCGCTCCATGGAGGTAAGAGAAGGCCGCCGCATGCGACAACACACATGTAGCGTGGGCTGCATTACAACAAACACACACGCTACAACCTACCAGTCAGGTTGAGTCCTAGAGGGGAGCACCTGTCGTGAACAATGGACAACAAAACGTGCACACCATGAGGTCTAGGTCTAAGCTGTGTCTTGAGGGCTTCGTCTTATCTCGTCCGTCACAACGGTGCAGCCACGTTCGCATACCAACCGCATACTCTACATGAGTTTTCCAGGGTGTAGACATAACTGTAACCCGTTGTTTCCCTATGTCATAAACTCAAACACTAGCCCGCGTTTTTTTGGTCATGTGTCGCCGTTCACGGACGTAACGCCCGTTGGTTCGAAACCAACCCCCTCTCCCTCTCTCTCCCTCTCTCTCCCTCTCTCTCCCTTTCCGTACTGTAGGCCCAGCACATGAAGAGCATGGACGAAGCGGTATCGCGAGCGGAGACCGCCGAATCTGAGACGGAAACCGTAAGGGAGGCCATGTCCCAAGCCAGGATACAGGCCGAGGCCGCCGAATCAGAGATTAAAACCCTAAAAGAGGCCACGGCGCAAGTAACCGGGCGGGCGGAGACAGCCAAATCAGAGATGGAAACCCTAAGGGAGGCGATGTCGCAAGCAACGGGGAGGGCGGAGACTGCCGAATCAGAGTTGGAAACCCTAAGGGAGGAGGTGTCTCGAGTAACGGAGAGGGCAGAGACTGCCGAGTCAGAGTTGGAAGCCCTCAGGGAGGCTATGTCTCAAGCAACGGGGAGGGCAGAGACTGCCGAATCGGAGGCGGAAACCCTGAGGGAGGCTGTCTCGCAAGCAACTGGGGGGACGGAGACTGCCGAATCAGAGTTGGAAACCCTAAGGGAGGAGGTGTCTCGAGTAACGGAGAGGGCAGAGACTGCCGAATCGGAGGCGGAAACCCTGAGGGAGGCTGTCTCGCAAGCAACTGGGGGGACGGAGACTGCCGAGTCGGAGATGGAAACCCTCAGGGAGGCCGTGTCGCAAGCGGAGCAGCGGGCGGATGCGGCGGAATCGAAGATCGAAACCCTTGATGAGGCGTTGGCTCAAGCAAGGGGGCGGGCGGAAGCGGCGGAGGCTGCGGCTGGCGGGGTTGGCGAAGCGGAGGTGCGGGTATCGGGGATGAAGGAGGAGAATCGGGCACTGGAGGAACGGCTGGCTCGCCAGGTACAGTCATATCCGTTGATGTTGTTTGGTTTCTATTCACTTTAATTGGGTCGTGGCGGTGTTGGTGGTCGTGGTGATGACTTCGGAGGTGTAGGAGAATCTCGCACGGCTTGCTCGTGGGGTACAACGAAATGCGTTGATGTTATTTGGTTTTGTCTTTGCTGTACGCGGTAGTGGACGCTGGCCGTGTAGTGGTAGTCGAGGTGATGCCGCCAATGTTGTCCCTGTTATGGCGGGTTCATCGCTGTACTCGCACGGCAACTTGTGTAGCACACGCTCAGGCATTCGCTTGGCATACGCTTGGTAGCATTGGCCTCGACGAAGTCCTTTCTCATTTGTACCAATCTATTTTGCGCTCCTCATCCCGATGTATACCGTCCGTTCCGTTCATGTGTATGTGTATCTGGCAGGAAGCAGCATTGTCGCAGGCGAAGGGTGAGGCGGAGGCTCAGGAAGCGGAAAAATCTTCGCTAGCGGTCGCTGTAAGGTCTCTTGAAACGGAAAGGGACAACCTGAGGTGAGCGAAGCGTGTGGGCGAAGGGGTGGGGGGGGGGGTACCCGGGAACGCTCCTGCTGCTGCTTGTGGCTGTTGCTGCTGCTGCTGCTGCTGCTGCTGCTGCTACTGCTGCTGCTGCTGATTGTGCTTGTAGCTGGAGTTGTTGCAGTTGTTGTTTTGGTGTTGCTGGTTGTGACTGCTGTGCTGCTGTTGCCTTTGCTTTTGTGCTGTCGCTGCTGTCGCTGTTTCCGTGTGCGCGATGCTGATTTTCTCCTTGTCGTTATGGTCATCGTTCCAGTTGTCGCTGCTACCAAAGTCGCCGGTTTTGACGTTATCCCCTCTTGTCTGTTGCTAGGGCCGAGGTCGCCAAGGCTGAACGACTCGCCGCAGAGCTGGCGGCCGCCTACAAGGAAGAACAGCTCAAGATTTCCCAAAACACGGACCAGGACACAACTCCCGAAAGCGGCACCCCGCTGGTGACGACAACAACGGATTCCGAGCAGGACACGGCCGCTGCGACCGCACTAGTCGCCGACCTCCGCACGAAACTCCAGCAAGTGACGGTGGCGCACGAGGAGGCGCAAGCGGGGTTGCGGGAAGAGGTTGTCGAGGCGGCGACGAGCCTGGAGAAGGCGGAGGCGGCACTGCAAGTGAAGACGCACGCTTTGGAAGAAACTCGGCAAAATCTGGAAGAATCTCAGCGGGTTCTGGAAGAAACCCGACAAAATCTGGAATGGAACCGGCAGGATCTGCAAGAAACCCGACAAAATCTGGAAGAATCCCAGCAGGATCTGGAAGAAACCCGACAAAATCTGAAAGAATCCCGTCAGGATCTGGAAGAATCCCGGCAAAATCTGGAAGAAACCCGACAGGACTTGGAAGAGACGAGCGCGAAGCTGGAGGAGACGGAAGCGGCCCGCGCCGAGTTAGATCTCGAGGTTTCGACAAGAGCCGCGCAAGTGCAAGCGGCCGCGGCGAGCCGCGAGGCTGCGGAGACGGCCCTCGGCCTAGCCGAGGAAGCAGCGGCCGCTGGCCGGGCGGAGCTGGGAGCGGAGCTAAGCTCCGCCCTGGAGTCTCTGGGCGAGGCGCGGCGGGAGTTGGACGAGGCCAGGCGGGAGGAAGGGGAGGCCCGGACCGCCGTCGCCACGGCGGAGGAGCGGGCGAGGGAGGCCGGCGGCAAGCTGGAAGACGAGCGCGCTCGCGCGGAGGCGGCGCTGAGGGAGGTGGAAGAGCTGCGGGCGGTGCTAGAGGAGACGGGCAGGGAGGGCGAGGCGGCGGCCGGGGCGAGGGCGGAGGCGGAGGAGCTGCAGGGGCAGCTGGAGGGCACCCGGAAGGTATGTGTGAGTGTTTTTCTTACATCTCGTAGATCTACGCTAGTTTTTTTTGGTAGACCTCGTAGTTCTACATTGCTGCGGCCTTCGTTGCCTGTGCTTTGAAGCATGATTGGATGCACGGTGCCAAACGGCTCTCTCTACTCATGGGCGCATGATTGAGTGCGGGAATTCCTTTCAGAAGAGACAGCTTTGGTGGAGCAGCGCGTTCCAAGATTTCGGATGTGGGAATGCCGCACTCGTACATTTGTGTGTGTCGGTTTGTTTGGGTGGCATTCATCCAGCAGTACTGCGGCAAACACATCAGCTGTCAGGGTCGCAGCGTTGTAGGATGACGACAACCTCACGCTTATCAGCCCGACACACAAGATGACCACCGACCACAATTTTGATTTCGTTCTTGTTTGGTGATGTGTAAGCAGTGAACTACTTTACTGCGCCTAGGGCAGACAGAGTTGCAACAACGGCAGCTGATGTGTTTGTGATGATAATGAAGGATGACCTTTGTTGTTTTATTCTATGTTAAGGTTGAACAACACGCAGCGAGTGAAATGAAGCCTCCATTCACTTTGGCACCCAAAATGCCTTCGTGCCCAGTCTCGATGCTCAACTTGAACCATGCACAGCGACCGTAGTGTCAAGGTGAACGCCATTTGCGCACAACCGGTGTATCTCTATTTATGTAATTTTCACCCCTTCCTCTCTACCCCTCCCTCTCCCTCCCTCTCTCCCACTACCGCTTTCTCTACCTCTTCAACTCCCTCTCGAGTGGTTGATCATCTCACCAGATGGGGATGCAGGGATGTTAGAACTAGCAAACATCACCCTGCCGTTCCCATAACGACAAGAGAACCCCCCCTCCCCCAACGACGCCGTATCCCCCAACGACCCCCCCTCCCCCAACGACCCCGCCGACCCCGCGTGGGACTAAACATTCTCCTCCCCCAATGCGCCCCGCAGGAACTGCGCGAAGTGGAGGAAGCCCTGTCTTCACAGACGTCCAAGACCGAGGACGCCCTCGCCCGATTGTCATCGATGGAGCAAGAGCTCGCCTTGATGGAGCAGGCTCTCGGGGAGGCGAGGGGGGCGGCGGCGGCGGCGGCAGCGGCGGAGGCCGAAGCCGACGAGGAGACGGCGGCGGCGACCTCTGCCCTCCGAGAGGAGATGATGTTGGCGCTGGAACAGGCGGAGGAGGAGTCTTCGGAGTTGCGACATCAGGTGACTTTTTTGTTACAATTTTTTTTTGTGTGGACATGGTATATCGGCGAACGTTAGCACCACCATATTTTTGTCTGGGTTCTTCGCGCTTTCGAAGCGAGTAGTGTGTGAGGTTCAGTATCGTGTGATGTGTTCAAGGAATTTTTTGTTGGTCCGTTCATGTACAAATGTTGGTCACACCAGGTCAACGCCGCGTTCCCTTCACGTATGTAACTATCTGCCCCTATTATGACGTCAGGCACCTTGACATGAACTCACGAGATCAACGCCGCGTCCTCTCCACGCAGGCAACTAGTTGCCCATTGACGTCACGCTAGATCCTCGACGCATTCTCTCCACGTCCATACCTGACTGCCCATACTACATCACGCTCGACCAACGCCTCGTTCTACATGTCCACGCACATAAACTAACTAGAGTACGACAGTCACGCACGATGACGTCTTACCAAATCGACGCCGCGTTCTCTCTACGTCCATGTTAGACAAACGCTAGTCAGCTCTGACCAAGCAGTCTCGTGGACTATTGATAGCATTTTTGCCGAACAGTCCATGCCTAACTGCCCACATTGTGACTATTATACCATGCACTATGATGTCACACCAGATCGACGCCGTTTTCTCTCCACGTCCATGAGACGAAGGTTAATTAGCGCCGACTAAGTATAGTCAAATGGACTAGCCTTTTCATCGACTAGTCTTTACCTAACTGCCCATATGACGACTGTCAAGCACCGGGACGTCACACGCGCGGACGCATTTTACGTATCTGCCCATATGTTGCGCGACACACCATGACGTCACGCTCGACCAACGCCGCGTTTTTTTCACGCACACATCAAGCTGCCCATATTTCCACTTTCGCGCACAATGAGGTCAAATATATATACAACGCCGCGTTAGCGGATAAACTGCCCATGATTTATGACATGACGTCACGCACCATGACGTCACACGCCAGATCAACGCCGCCGAGGCGACGATCGCGGACATGGACGCCACCCGAGCCGCCGCCAACGAGGAGACCGCCGCTCTCAGGGCAGAGCTAGCCGCGGCCGCCGAGCAAGCCACGCAGGCGGCGGCAGCGGCGGCGCAAGCGGCGAGGGTGGAGGCGGAGGCGGAGCTCTCGGCGGCGCAGGAGATGCTGCGGCGGGAGCTGGTAGCGGAGAGAGAGGCGGCGCTGGGCGCGGAGCGGCGGGAGGGCGCGGAACGCGTGGCGGCGGTAGAGAGGGAGGTGGAGGGCCTGCGCGTCAAGCTGTCCGAGGTGTGTGTGTGTGTGTCTTTGTTACTAGTATGAGCATTGACCGCGCTAACCGGCTGACCGGTGAAAAGGCGTCAGTCCCATGGCGGTTGAGAACACAAAACACTTCTATCTAAATGCCATCAACTGGGACCCCGTGAGGGGGCGGCATGGGGGAGGCTATGCCATTTGCCGGGGATGAAAGACAGTGTGTGTGAGTGTTTTGGATCGACCGTGCGTGTTCTAAGCCGGCTGACCAATTAGAAGACGTCAGTCTTTTTTTTAGCGGGATGAAAACACGAATACTTTCGAAGGAATTCTACCGACAGGGGAGGCGCAGGAGTTGGATGGCAGAGTCTGTGTGTGTGTTGGTTGTCGTTGGAATGGTATGGTGAGTGGTTTGCTGCTGCTGCTGCTGCTGCTGCTGCTGCTGCTGTTCCTGCTGCTGCTCCTGCTGCTGATCCTGCTGCTCCTGCTGCTGTGATTGTTTGATCAGTAAGATGCATGTTCAAAGAAGATGAGACTCCCTTGTTTCCACAAGTTTCTCGAAGAGATTCATGACACAGTGGCGTATGCGTTCAGCTGTGGTTGCGGGTGATTGCGAAGATTCGAGAGTTTTGTGGAGCGCTCCTCAGCGTATCTTTTTCTCCTGCTGCCAAGCAGACGAAGAAGACGGTAGCTTGCCCCGTGCCCTGGATCAAAACACGACAACGAACGACATCTACCCCGAGACCTCTCCATTGCGATACCCCCCGGGAGACAACGAGTAACCCCACTCCTTCCTGCTTCTTTCCCGACCACATCACGCATGACCCAAACAAACAAGCATACCCCCCCCCCCCCCCCCCCCCCCCCCCCCCCCCCCCCCCCCCCCCCCCCCCCCCCCCCCCCCCCCCCC